CAACAGGATTTTAAGTAGTTTTAACTAGCAAGATTGACTGGTGGTAAAGTGCATAAGTCTTATGGTTATACTTAAATATTTCCATCATGTGATCTAAAATTATTTCTGTTATAATTTCGCATGAAAAATGTGTATTCCTTTCACTGTAAACAGGGTTACATTATGACTGTAGTCATTATAGTTAGTACTAGTAGTAATAACACTTTAGTAAGCAGTTTCACTCTCATAAGTATATAAAGAACACTTAGAAAGTGTTTTTCGTTTCACATAAAATCAAAATGCCTACGGATTTAGTTAATTACCCTTCTCCTACCTCCAGTTATATTGCCCTTTAAAAACTGTAACTCTATTCCACTGTATGTGTTAAATTATTACAAAATTTCTATTTCCAGATATGCAGAGTAGACTGAAAATGTTTAATGTGATACTCATAAAAAATGTAGTTAACAGCATGACAGAGAAGCATAAGGCATCAAATATAAAAGTACAACTTTTTTTCATTTCAACAAAGTACTTCAGCAATGTGTGTTCAGAATAAATAAACAAATATCTCCCAGTCACTTTGTTTCCTGGAGTCATTTATGCCATTTATAAATATTTATTTATTCTCAAAATAAGCTCTTTATCTTCCATATTTTCTATTGCAATCGAGCTGAATTTATGCTAATAATGGGTGACTGAAAGCCATAAAAGCAATTTTTACCTAGTCCTATTATTTATCAAAATAACTGAGCTATTTTACTCGTAAAATGGATACGATCTAGGTGTGGTTATAGGCCTGATATCTGTTGTGTTTAGTGCACTATCACGGGTGCTTTCATTCCCCCAAAAGACATTTTATTTATGATATTATGTATTAGTTTGATAATGGATTTGAACAAAGCAATCACAATACATGAATTCATAGTATCCTGCTCCATCTGTTGTTTTGATTGCTTTGTTTAAATTAATCAAAGGGAAATTTATAAATGAAATTGTGATATTGATCAGAATACACGTATAGTGCAGTGTATGCATTCATTCATTTAAAAGTTGTAAACAGTTTTATTGTTTTATTTATTCATTGACTGATGACAAAGTTCTACCAGCTTACTTCAGTACTAAGTCATCTACTGTGTATTCTTGTGAATTCACTACCACTGCTACTGTAGATATTGTTTAAGAAGTGAGATCCATCTAATGACAGATTAGTATACAGTAGTAATAATCAATAATCTCAGCATTTACTGGAATTTTTTTTCCTTCACGTTCCCATTGGAACATAAGGCCTCAAGCTAGTGGCCTGAAGTTTCTGTAGCAGTGTTTAATTTTACAGGATGGGGTTGCTAGCCTCAAGCCCAACCTTTCCTCTTTACCGGCATTATTTCTGGCTTATCGAGGTTTACTGGAATATTTCACCTAATTTTTCTGCACATTACATAACAATTAATAAAAACATTAACATAAACATTGATATTACTGGTGTCAGTGAACTATACATGTAAAATAAAAATTATGAAAAATAACAGAAATGGTAACAACGATATGTTAATAATAAAAAGAATAAGAAAGACCGTTTATAAAAGGAAAGACTAATCTTTCTTTGCCTTGGTAACTGGATGCCTTTTTTTCTCTCATCTGATTACGTATTCTTTGTCTTTAACCTCACCCTCCCTTTTATAATCTGTAATTTTGCTTTTCTCTTGTTTCTATGATTTGATCTCAACTCAGTACATTGTTACCTAACTTACTAGTCACTATGCATCTAACGCACATCTCATCTTTATTACGTAACTCCTTTACCATTTTCTGCATACATTTATTTTGTTTTAACTTGAACTGCCCGTGTGAAAACTACATAAGCGCGCGTTTCTGAGCACTGTTTACTAATTGTGAAATTTTTTGTCAACTGATAACATGTAAAATTTTCAAGTATGTTAAAACATGTCTGTACTTAAACCTGAAAATTTATTTAGGCTGTAAGCAGCTGATAAGAAGCCGACGAAATAAATGATGGTACCACATTATTCTGCTAAAACTGTAGTTCTTGCTTTGTTCAAAGATCTGACTTCTTTATGAGAGTTCCAAAATGAACAGTTTTTGCGGTAAATTAATCAGTGGTCTTCATCGAGTAGTCTTAAGCTAAATTCCTGCAGACGTCAGATTGCTAATTTTAATATTGGACAAAAATGTGATTTACATAAACTGATTCGTTTCCCTGACTCTTAGAAAGCACTGAAGTCGAAACTAAGTCGAATGTTATAAACCTTGGATTATGCCTTTCTGCAGGCCTGTCTTTATCTTCCCATATCGCGTCAACCTCTAGGAAGGAAGGAAGGAAGTTAAAACAATCTGTTATCACACAGTCCTTATTTTCTCAAGTTGAGTTGACCCATGTATTCTAGCTGTTTTTCTTCATTGCACCGCAGATATAAAAAAAGACTTTTTTACAACATGAAGGATGCTAGAGATGTCTTCAGGACGAGTGGTGTGTTACTAAGTGAATTCATTAATATTTTCATGGACATCCATTTGAACTCCTAAAAGAAATTGGCGAAATTCATCTTCTTCGGTTCTTAGAACTCTCTTTAACGCAACTTTCTTATTGCATCTCATTAGGTGGAGCTAAAATGAATCATAAGACATCTTATGATTGTACGGCTAAATATGAAAGTTTAACGATTCTTTTTTTGGAATGCACTTTATGTGATGAGAAAAGTATTGATTATGAAACTTGTGACTTCGTGAGAAACAGTTAATAAACGGTCTTTCTTATTCTTTTTATTATTAACATATCGTTGTTACCATTTCTGTTATTTTTCATAATTTTTATTTTACATGTATAGTTCACTGACACCAGTAATATCAATGTTTATGTTAATGTTTTTATTAATTGTTATGTAATGTGCAGAAAAATTAGGTGAAATATTCCAGTAAACCTCGATAAGCCAGAAATAATGCCGGTAAAGAGGAAAGGTTGGGCTTGAGGCTAGCAACCCCATCCTGTAAAATTAAACACTGCTACAGAAACTTCAGGCCACTAGCTTGAGGCCTTATGTTCCAATGGGAACGTGAAGGAAAAAAAATTCCAGTAAATGCTGAGATTATTGATTATTACTACTGTATACTAATCTGTCATTAGATGGATCTCACTTCTTAAACAATATCTACAGTAGCAGTGGTAGTGAATTCACAAGAATACACAGTAGATGACTTAGTACTGAAGTAAGCTGGTAGAACTTTGTCATCAGTCAATGAATAAATAAAACAATAAAACTGTTTACAACTTTTAAATGAATGAATGCATACACTGCACTATACGTGTTTTCTGATCAATATCACAATTTCATTTATAAATTTCCCTTTGATTAATTTAAACAAAGCAATCAAAACAACAGATGGAGCAGGATACTATGAATTCATGTATTGTGATTGCTTTGTTCAAATCCATTATCAAACTAATACATAATATCATAAATAAAATGTCTTTTGGGGGAATGAAAGCACCCGTGATAGTGCACTAAACACAACAGATATCAGGCCTATAACCACACCTAGATCGTATCCATTTTACGAGTAAAATAGCTCAGTTATTTTGATAAATAATAGGACTAGGTAAAAATTGCTTTTATGGCTTTCAGTCACCCATTATTAGCATAAATTCAGCTCGATTGCAATAGAAAATATGGAAGATAAAGAGCTTATTTTGAGAATAAATAAATATTTATAAATGGCATAAATGACTCCAGGAAACAAAGTGACTGGGAGATATTTGTTTATTTATTCTGAACACACATTGCTGAAGTACTTTGTTGAAATGAAAAAAAGTTGTACTTTTATATTTGATGCCTTATGCTTCTCTGTCATGCTGTTAACTACATTTTTTATGAGTATCACATTAAACATTTTCAGTCTACTCTGCATATCTGGAAATAGAAATTTGTAATAATTTAACACATACAGTGGAATAGAGTTACAGTTTTTAAAGGGCAATATAACTGGAGGTAGGAGAAGGGTAATTAACTAAATCCGTGTTACCACATTATTCTGTTTAAACTGTAGTTCTTGCTTTGTTCAAATTAATTAAGGGGAATAAATATATTTATTTTCTGAGATGTCAGATCTTTGGCATACATAACAAAATGTGGACTTGTTTATATTTCACCGATGCGGAGACAATTCTGAGAAATAAAATAATGTATTTTCTTTTGATTACATTTGATTCCACACAGTACTTTTGGTACAAGTATGGAATTCTCAGCATGAATTTTGGTAGCCCAAATTTTGCGGGCCGACCATATTTATCAGCTGTGCGTCGGCAGTGGATCGAACCTCGAACCATGTTCATGGTCGGCGAGAGTCCTAACCACTGTGCCACCGACGCACATGCATAGATGAATAATAACAGTCAGCATGCTCTATCTAATCGAAAAGCAAGATGCCTAGAAACTAAGGCATAAAGACTGGTTTGGTGAATAACCGACATCCTTTAGAGCACTGTCGAAACCCAGAGGCAATCAAAAACTGTTTCTTCCCAGTCTGAAACTCTTCAAAAGTGTTCACTAATAATCCCTCTAAAAGGTCACCGTTACATTTGCATTATAGGTGCTCTAACTGATGTAGATTTGTGAAATAAAATACCTTAAAAACTCCAGCCTACAAATACGACACAGTAATTTGAAATTTGAAAGCATGTGAACAGACCTGGAGCGGGGTGAAAAAGATGTCAGAAAACAGACGGCAATGGAGGTGCGCAGCTGAAGCCTTATGTTCCTCTAGGAACTAAAGGATACAATACAATTTGAAATTTTGTGAGCTCTTTATCATTTATAACTGAAAATATCAATCCAAGATTCTTACCCTGACTTCGTTTTACATGAGATTCAGACTGAAAATTACTGTGTAGTTATTTCTACTCTGAACACGTTTATTCTGATTTCGATTAAATTAACAATATTTTTGTACAAAAATTAAAAAAAACAACCACCTAATTACATGAATTTCTTTTAAAATTTATCCAGGAGTGGTTGTCAAAATGTGATACAGACAAAAATAATAAAATTACATTCGATGAATTTTGTCGAGGATTTGGTATTAAGTTAGCCGAGATGTAAGTTTTTTATCCAATAAAATTCAGATAAACTGAATTGTAATTGATAATTCATAATTTACAGATGTAAGTAGGCAGAAACATAAAAGTGTGACTGAGTTTTATAAAAATAGTGAAGAGCTGAAGTGTAGTCTTGTCATAAAACTCACCCGTTTTATATTTCTTTAACCGATATGCTGGTCGAAGAAGCGACAAAGACAAGACTCCAAGTGAACATAGACAAGACGGAAGATATGAAAATAACCAACCAACAACAACAACGGCAGAAACATCCAACGCCAGTCACTATCATCGGGAGGGATTTGAAAGAGGTTAATTCATTCACTCACTTATCTAGGGAGCATTGTCTCAACTAGAAGGCAGTCGGAACGGACGAGGATGTCAAATCGAGCGAGAACTGGGAAGGCGAGAAACACATTCATCAACCTGAAACCAATCTGGAAATCTTCGTCACTCAGCCACCATCAACAACAAAATTCGGTCGGATCTTCAATACAAGCGTCAAGTCAGTCAATTCTTCTATACGGATCAAAAACTTGGCGGGAGGGTCACAAAGAATATTTCCAACAGCCTGTTGCAGACCTTCATCAACCAACAACTGTCTTTGCTCCGTACTGAAGATCAGATGGCCCGGCCGGAAAGAATCACCAACAAGAAACTATGGGAACAAACAAAACAAGAAGCAATCTCGGGCAAATCTTCAGGAGAAAGTGGAGACGGATTGGGCACTCGCGGAGGAGGCCGGTTTGTAGCATCGCGCGCGCGTCAGGCCATTGCTCGAGTGGCACCCGGAAGGGAAGAGGTGAGTGGGACATCAGTGCAAGGGTGACATGGAGGAGATCGTATAAAGAGGAGTTGAAAGGGTATGGACTAACATGGATGCAGGTGAAAAGTTCAGCAGAAGGCAGAAGCAAGTAAAGACGTGCAGCTGAAGCCTTATGTTCCACTAGGAACCCAAGGGAACAATAATAATAGTAAACGATATGCTGAAAGCGAATATAAATGATCCTTAAGTACGTAGATATCATACCTACTGATTGAAGTAAGCTCAATAATACATTTCACGGTAGTTGTAATATTTTCCTGTTCACACTTAAATTACTTTTGATTGGAATTCGAAAAAATGAGGAACAAAGGAAATACATGTAATTTATACTCTGGAAGTAATTAGTGTCTTTTATGTACTTGTCACACCCATAGTATAACTGCGAACCTGTTTTCTATATGAATTGATTGATGGATCAGATGAACTCTTATGAGAACACTGAATGATATCCCCCGCAGAGCCCACACATGGAATCCAAATGGAAGATGATGAGTTTGGTGTCTGAGAGTAACGTAGAGGGAATCATGTTAAAAGGTAATAAAAAATTACGGGTTATCTAAAGGCCAACTAGAGAGGAATGCTAAGAACAGAACAAGATGTAGCTGTGCTGTTATCGCCCCATGTTCCACTCAGAGCGCACAGGAATTATAATAATAATATTTAATTTGACTACTGCTATCTCAATGATTCCTTCAATTTCGTTTTATTAAGTTTATTATTACTATTATTAATTATTTCTTCCTAATTTCCATTACAAGGCGAGTCGAAAAAATTGAGAGAGCCTTAATTTATGATGATACTGTGAAACCGAAACCAATCAATGTAGATATTATCAATTCATCAATGTCAGAAAAGAAACAAGCAGAAGTTATTGAAACTTATCAAAAACTTATAAAACAATACGGATCAGATGAAAAGAATTTAGATAAAGTTTCAAGTGGATTGAAAAAGTTTTTGGAAGAACACTATACAAATGTTTGGCATGTTATCATATTGAATGGTTCATTTTGGATGAGTTTTTCACATGAACCATTTTGTTCACTACAATTTAAATCAGATAAATATACTTGTAGTCTTTGGCGTACACCAGATGGTCAAAGATTTAGTTCATAAATACAATAGCTCAAATTACTCTCACTATAATATCCTATTAAATATTATCCTAATGTGACCAGTCTTTCGAGATGTTTCGTGATATATTTGGATCTTCAATTAATTATTAGACAAAATGTACATTCCCTATCCAAGAATACATACCAAATGCAGTGTCATGTAAAAATAACCATAAATATATTTAGTGAAAGTTCAAATGTTTTCAACTAGAGTCTAAATGATTTATCTTATAAAAGTTTTAATCAAATGTTTACTTAAAAGACTTATTAATTTCGACTAATGATAATGAATTTTCCAGACATTGTTTATGAGTCATAATTAAAAGTAATCAGCACTATACGGAGGAACGAGTTTACACGTAGCATAGTAATTCACTTTTAATATCCTAATGTTAAACTGATGAATTTTGAATTCACTACAAACAGGCTTAATGCTGATACCTTTACGCATTGTTTTTTGAGTGAAACACCCTTCCAGCATTCTCCGGTTTATGAACCATTGCTGGCTGAGATTAACTGGTAAAATAATTAGCTTTCTATCGAATGTTACATAGAGCTACTGAGCAATCTCAAGTGTAAAACGTTAGCTGGTAAACAAACTTACTTTATTCCCTCTCGTATGAGTTGTTATTAGGCTATTTTGGTTATCAAAACATGGTAATTTACGACCTTTTTTGTGTAGATGTTTCACATATTCCGTTTGCATTTTCTGAAATCAAAAGATTCATTATGAACATCTTCCCTCACACTCATAGTGCTAGTGTTTTATCAAATTTGCATAGTAGTAGGAACTACTTATTGATGTGAGTAGGTGTAAACCACTCAAATCAGACTAATCTTAACATTTTTTCCCTTCACGTTCCCCAGTGGAACATAGGGCTTTAAGCTAGTGGCTTGAAGTTTTTGCAGCAGTGTTTATTTTACAGGATAGGTTGCTACCCTCATGCCCAACCTTTCCTCTTCACCAGCATTATTTCTGGCTTAGCGAGGCAAAGGAGTGCGTCAGTGGCCGGGGATCAAACCCCGGACCATGTGCATGGTCGGTGAGTGTCCTAACAGCTATACCACCGACGCACAATCTTAACATAGGAAGGCCATTTTATCTACAACTGTCGATTAGAAACAACTAATTTTATTCAGTGTTGACAGTCTACTTGGGTAGCTAGCCAGGATTCAGATTCATTGAACTAATTCAACTATTTGACTTGATTCAACTGGGTACACGTCGCATGTGCTCTTTCTCAGGAAATCTAACAATTCCTTTTCTTTTGACACTTAAATCAGTTGCTTTTTCTAATAAAATCATACATATCCGCTTCAGTCAGAATACTAGAGAATACATTCTGTAAGATTACAAAGAGTACGTTGGTGGCGTAGCGGTGGAGTGCTCACCAACCACGAAGGTGGCCTGGGGTTCGATTCCCGACCACCCCACTCCTTTACCTCGCTAAATCAATAGTAAGACTTGTGAAGAGAGAGAAAGTTGGGCATGAGACTAGCAATCCCATCCTGTAGAAATAATCATCACTGCTACAGAAACTTCAGCGCTCCAGCTTGAAGCCCCATGTTCCACTGAGAACGCAAAGGAATTTTAAAAATAGATTACAAAGTAAGAACAGTAAACTTTTAAATTTCTCAGTTAAACTAAAATACAAAGAAAAACGGAACGGTATTTTAATCTAAGTTTTGAAATCATGTGCTTTAGGACAATTCTTCAATGCGTTAACCTCCTCAATGTTCACGTGAATCAATATCATCGTGATACAAGCTATACGATAAATATAAACTTAGAAATTTAGAGTATTACATTTGTGGGAATTTAAATAGTCAGTTTAATGTATTACTTAGAATGAGAGATTATCCACATGAATAATGGCCTAATGATTGTTGAGTATCATTTTTTGTTTTCTATACAACTTATATCGCTTAAAATAAAAATATTGTAGCATTTTTTCATTTCTATGAGAATGTTTTTGTAAATGATTGTAGTAGTAGTTGTGACTGTAATATAGTAAGTAATAGTATTACCACTATTAGCATGAGTGATCTTGAAAGTAGTAGTTACGGTAGTTCATTAGCATAGTGGTTAATGTCTATTGTTTTCACAATGTATGCACAAAAAAATGCTGATCAGATCACAAGTATACTTTAGTCTATTACTAGTGTTATTGAGATAATGTATAAAATGCTCCTGATTCATATTGATCGGAATTTGTGAGAGTTTATATGCTTTCTGGTATACGTTGTGTAATTTTTCAGTTATACTGATTCCCATTACTATTACTCCATGTGTTATACTCGTGCAATGTATATCAAATTATTAGATTGATGATCATGATAACTGATCTGCTTCTTAAACTTGTTAATCACATGAAAATATAAAACCATAGTATTGTATAGGGCATGAAAGTTTGTGAGTCCACACGCTCATTGCATTTACGAGAAAATGTGCTACTTTTCAGCTGGAACGAGTAAAATGTCCCAGCTTGGTTTAAGAGAAAAAGAAAATACAACTACAACATATTTAATATTGTGAGTTAATTTTAAAAAATAATAGTATAGGTAAGGGTTATCACACAGAAATACTTTTTGGACTGAAGTTTGTTTCTGTGTTGAGCCATCCCTGTTGCTTGTGTTCAGTGTAGATTCAATGAACAAAGATTCCGTGCTGAACCTCTTCTTCCTCTACCTATATTATTTTTAAGGACTGCAGATCTCTCCTGCACTGCTATGTTGTTGTGCTTTAGTGCATGCATCGTGACTGCTGAAATTTCCTCTAAGCTGTTTGTCATCCAAGGTTTGGTCATTCTACATTTAGCTAAATTTCTATGTCTGAGTAACGTGATCGACCCTGACCTATTGGTCTGACCTATATAGTTGACCTCAAAGTCATTGCATGGATTTTCCATATTATGATTATTTCCTTGGGTTCCGAGTGAAACATATGGCCTCAACAACACATCTCCACTTTCTTCTATTTTTCGTGGTCCTTTTCATCTGGCTAGCCACACGATTCTCCATTATCTCTCATATCCTCTTCCCGAAACCATCTCCTCCATGCCACCCTCTCACCGACGACCCGCTCGTCCCTTCCTAGTGGGATTACACTCGAGCACTGGCCTGCACCGAGCACGATGTCATTTGAAAGCCTCGTCAACGTATGACCGATCCATCTCCATATCCTCCTACATATTTCTTGAGCAATCTAATCTCGCCTGTTGATTTGTTCCCAGCCAGAGTTACTTGTTGCTATTTCTTTCTGGCCAGCTGGCCATTTGATCGTCAGCATGGAACAAGCGAACTTGGCAGCTGTTGATGAAAGTCTGCAATAGCCTGTTTGAAATCCCTCTCGTGAGACGCAGTGGAGTTTCTGATTCGTATAGAGGAATTGACTGAATGATGATGATGATGATGACTGGTGTTGGAAATCCAAATCTTGTTGTTTTTTATGCTGAGGTGGAGTGCGGAAGATTTCCAATCTGATTTCAGTTTGATGAAGGCGTATGTTGTGTTTCCGATTGTGGCTGGCTGGTTTTAACATTTTTTGTCCGTTCTGGCTGCCAGTAGCTGAAACAGTACTTTCTGGCTGGATTAGTGATGGAAGTAATCTCTTTTAAATTTCTCCCTTTGATGGTGATTGGTGCTGGTTGTTGCTGCTGTTGGTTGTTTATCTTCATCACCTCCGTCTTCTCTCTAATTAGATTGTTGTGATTAACAGCAATAACGTCATCAGTAAATAAAATTATATCGTCGTAAGTTTTTTTGAAATTATTCCCTAATGAAAATCGACTAAACTAAATAAATTCTTATTCTTATTAATGATTCATAATCATAAAAATAGCTTCTCTAGAATAAAACAACTTATTCATAATGTTTCAGGACTTCATCATGAGCTGACATTAGTTAGAGAACCATTGGGAAACCTGGGAGTACTGAACAGCTGTTTCGTCCGAGTTTGGGACTCTTCAGTAGTACGCACTCACCGGATTCGAACCCAGTGGGTCCCAGTGGCTTAATGGTTTACGAGCTCACCTTGTAACCGGAAGGTCCAGGGTTCGAATCCCGGTGGCTGCGTACTGATGAAGAGTCCCAAACTAGGACGAAACAGCTGTCCAGTACTCCCTGACTGGTTTTCCAATGGTTCTCTAACTAATGTCAGCTCATGATGAAGTCCTGAAACCAATCAAATCCCTACAAATCAACACTTGAATTATTCATAATGGTTGGGGTATACATGGAGTAAGAAAGAATTGAAAAATAAAAATGACTACTACTTTATCAAGAAAGCCCTAGCTCCAAACAACGCTCATGTTTCTTCTTTCAAAAGGGTCATTTCAGAAAGTTCCTTATTCGATACAATGTAATTAAGAAATAGTGGAAAACGTTCTCGCTTTAATAAGAATAAAGATTAACCAAGGGGACAAAAAACCTTTAAAATGTATTCTTATTTCGAAATGAGCAGAGGCAACGTTCATAATCATTATCCCTGAAGATCAACACCAAAATTGTTCATTAAGAGAAATAAAATTAAGTAACATCAAAATCATTTGAAAATACAGCTTATTCCTTCGAAGATGATCATAATACTTTTGGGTGCTTTCCACGAATGACTAAAAATTCTGATATTCATTTCAAACTACTTACAGTAATGCTGAATTATAAGTAGTCAGCTAGTATACAACGAATTTTTCTGCGTGTTGTTTATCAATTACATTGAATGTAAGCCAACAAAGACCATGGATATCGGTAGACAGGTCAAATATCAGTTTTTGTTAAATTACTTTATCACTCAAAAGTTAAAAAGTGAACTCTGTTTTCATTCTTTTCAAGTTTCATTGCAATAACGAAATCTGCCCATTAAAATGTCCTCTAAACATATGTTCATGATAGGAAGCAAGACGATAACTGGGATATCGCGTGTTCCGATCTGACAACATGTGAAGAAAGGTGTTTATATAACCCTAGTCACAATCAAATTAATTAGTTCCAGTCACCTCGAAGTGGGACTGAGAAGGACAACAATCTGATGAACTCTATTGCATTACCTATTATTCTACAGCGGTGAAGAAAAAATTGGAGGTGAAAGTTACATAAAAGCATTATTTTGTGTACTGTGATCAAATGAACTAGAAAATAACATAAAATGCATATTGCTACTTTTCATACTAATAAGTAGGCACTTTTATTACGACAAAACTATAGTTGAAACATTATTATGTTTGTGCTGCAAGAAGTTACGCAAAATAAACTCCTAAGAGCTATGTATAAGTAGTTCACCGAGTTTCTCTTGGTATTAACTGCATGCCAACATTACTGTTCAGCCCTGCTGATTTAACCAGAGTCCAAAATTTGATCAAAATGGAAACACAACCAGAGACTTTGTTATTATTTTATTTTGATTTTTGATTACAGCTTGATTCCACACCGTAGTTTTGGTACAAGTATGGAATTTTCAGCGTGGATATCGGTAGCCCGAAATTCGCAGGCCGACCACAGATATCAGGTGTGCGTCGGCGTGGGCTCGAACGCCGGACCATGTGCATGGTCGGCGAGAGTCCTAACCACTGTGCCACCGACGCACAGTTATATTGTTGATAATGGCCTCATGGCTACACATAACACACAATCTTCAGCGTAATTTACTGCAAAAAATATTTAATCGTCGTAAAAATCATCATTTGAAAAAGCACCGAAATCTTTTCCTCAACGATATTTG